TTTTTGTGTTTTTGGTATTTTTTGGTATTTTTGTGTGTGTGTTTTTGTATTTTCGGCTTTTAATGTGTTTATTACATATTTTAACTGTTTTCTGATGTTGTTTTGTGCTTTCTATTGATTGCTTATGGCTTTAGGGGCGCAAAACACGTAGAAGGCGCACGCCCAGGGTCCCCCGTTTTCTTTTTGTTTTCAGCTGCAACTGCACTTTGGTTTTGAATGAGAGGCAATCTGTCGGCAGTCAGTTTGCAGGGTAAGCCGGCTGGCTCAAACCTGTTTGTAATCCTCCAATGAGGCTATGGTGCTCCCCGACAAACTGGTGCAAGTGGCGGCTAACGGAAGACTGATTGAGATTGAAGATGGCGTGCGCCAGTGGCGTGCATACCGAGAAGATGATCCAGCCAGGAGGAAAAAAAGGATGTCCGAAATGTTATAGCTGCAGTGGCTTGCATCATGACTGCTTGCAGCCCCCACGGTTCAAGGGCTTGGGGCTGATTGAAAGAAGTATGAAAGCAGCTGGCTGAGAGAGCCGGTTGTTGAGGGTAGTTTTGTGAAGCAATGGATGTCCACTCGCCGCATGTTTTGGCAACGCTTTCGTTGGCTTTCGCCAAACACGCTCATTCCAAAAAGGTCAAGCCAGCGCCAGCGCGGTGCGTCAAGACCCATTCAGTGTGTGATCAGGTGGTCGCTCGTTTTCTTGTGCTCTTGACTCTGTCGTTTATATTATGTCAAGCTCATGGCTTCTATTCTATTTCCCTTCCTTGGTTTCAGTTATCCAGGTGGCCCAATCTGATTGCACAGACTGCGTTTGGGGTACTTGTGGCTTCCTTGCTGTCAATGCTGGCCTGCACATGCATGCTTGATCCAGGAAGCCCCCCTGCTGTGGCCGGGACAGGTAAGTCAGGCAAGTGGTGCGAGCGATGTATGGCACAGAAACCGGAAAGATGTCATCACTGTTCCATTTGCGATCGATGCGTCCTCAAGATGGACCACCACTGTGTGTTTACAAATTCATGCATTGGTGCACGAAACCATCTTCACTTTTTGACATTGGTCGCGTTGGCCACATTTGGTTGTGGCAGTGTCGCTTTATTTGTTGCCCCGCAGCTTCCGGGTGCATTCCGAGAAATCATCAGCTTCGGTCATGCTGGTCATGACCTGCTGTTCCACCTGTATCTGATCCTCTTGACCACCTCTGCGAGTGTTTGCTTTGCCCTGCTCTGGGACCTGCTGCTGGCCCAGCTTCATAACCTGCTCCGGAACGAGACCACGATAGAAAGCATAGAGAACTGGGCTGAGCGTCGCGGCAGCCCATATGATTCTGGAGCCATGAAGAACGTCGTCGAAGTGTTTGGGCCTAGGGCTGAGTGGTTCTCAAGATGTGTTCTCTACTTGGACTGCTTCGATCAGTTCCTGACCAGTGATTGACCTCCTGCAGTCAAGCTGGACGACAACACTGATGCAAACAGGTGGTGATGTTAAAGTTTGCATGTCGAAGAACTGAAGAACTGTTTAGCTTCCCTAGAGTGCCAAAGCGTGCTGCTAGGCCTGCCAAAGTGCAGGCAATGAAGTGCTAAGCAAACAAACCTACATGGTTCGCAGCGGAGCAGGGAAAACACGCAGCAGGAAACATACGCAGCAAATGGCTGAGTGACCTTCTCACTGTAAAGCACTGCTCTCTCTCATTGATTAGCCTTTGTCGGGTTTGGTATTTTTCTGTGAAAGAAAAAAGAGGGGGCTGGGTTCAGTTGTGCCTGTCACTTTTGCCAAGGCAGCTTATGTTAAAATGATCCTGCCCCTGCCCCTGATCAAAGTTAAGGGTAGCCTACATTTACAAAGATATTCAGATGGGAGTTGCTGTGCCATGCTAAACCCTAGACCCTAAAACCCTTGAATCTAAACTCTAGACCCTAAATCCTAGATAGCAGTTTCCCGGCTAGATTTTGCATTCCCCCTATTACGCGCCCAGGTGGCAGAAATCTCTGAGTCACTTGGGCCTGGCTTGCGGATTGGCATCCTGGCTCAGGATGCGCAAGGCGGGTTTTGGGGGGCTTCTGATTCTTCTAACTTGGCTTTGTGCTGGTCGGGCGCCCCTTGTTGGGAATTCCCAGAAGGAAATTTACAGTCTGTTGGGGCCGATGTTGGGGCGACCTACTTCTTGAACACCCGATATTCGATCCGTCCTTTGACTCATGATACGGCCCCAGTAGCTGTGAGCTTCAGCATGCTTGTGGATGAACAGCCGGCAGAAGACATCTGCAGCTTCTGGCTCTGGCTTGGAGCCATTCTGAGCGCCAAAAGCATGCACATGCGCAACTGGCAGCTTTCAGCCTAACCGAGCTGTTTCTGCTTCAACGCAAAGAGCCTTTGTGGTAAGACTGGAGGAAGTCCAACAGCCGCAACATGCAATACCTAACTCTCCATGAATTTGCTGCACACCCGCTTCTTGATTCTGATACGCTGGCTTATCGTATGTGACGCCCTTTCGCAGCCATGAACAAGGCTGGCCCGCGCTTTTCGTGCTGAGGCCTCGTCCTTGGCAGTCTGAATGGGAGTTCGCACGTCAGGCGCGTGCTATGCTCGACGCCCTCATGGGCCGCGAACTCGACGCTTCAGGGTCAAACACATTTGCATGGCTGATTCTGCATATCTTCGTGATCCTGTTGGCCTGCTGTCTTCAAAGGGCTCAAGAAGTCAGGTACGTTGAGTCTATAAACAGCAATTGAACGGGTCATGACCGTGGTAGCTTGAGCTTCCAAAGCCTCGTGACTTGATGACTTGCTGCATGAAGGCCCACAGCGTGACCAAAAGAAGGATGGCAATACAGAAGACTGGAAGGTGGGCAGCTGGAAGATTTGGGCAATGGGTTTAGGGTTTGGGGTAGTATAAGGACATGATGAGCATTAAATTGGGATGTGATGTCTAATAATGGAAAATCACATGGAGCAGAACACGGACGATGGCATGGAAACTTGGTTTATATAACTGGTGGAATGGCAGTATCATTCTCTGTAGTTTCGCCAGGACAAGACAGTTTGCAAAGGTGTCTTGGCAGCAAATCTATGGGCCAGTGCATGGTGTCTTTTTCATTGCTCTTCTTTTTGCTCCTGTCATTTCTCTACTATTGTTTGATCCGTCAGTGGTGTTAAAGTTAAAGCAACTAGAACTTTATGAGTTTTATGCTGCTTGTAAGTGCTGATCATTCTTCTTATTCTTCTTGATTTGTTTTTTCACAGCAGGTTCGCTCCTCCATCTGCTGAGGCTTCCTTGTTGGCTTCTGTCCTTTCGACAAGGCAGTGACGTGGTTGACAGTGCACAGAGTAGATTCTGGGCGGAAATCTTACCCGACGTTCTCTCCTCAACACCTTTTGCAGTCCATCGTGGGTGGCAAGCGGACCATCGAGCCTTGCGACAAGATCCACTCGGAGGCCAGCGCACTGTGTCCACCTTTTGATGAGGCATTCTTTAGCTGAGCGGGATTGCAGGTCATACGAGAGAAGTTTGAGGCCCACAAAGATGGGAAAGAGGGTAGTGAGCTCCGGATCAAGTACGAGGACCCTGTGGGGCATTTCTGCCAGCAGCCTCTCGCAGCTGGGTGAGTCTCAGGAGTATTCTATTCGCGACTTGGAGTTTGCCATCCAAGAGGCAGAGGCCTGATCGGGTTTGCCAGCCCCGCACTCTATTCCTGAGGACATTAGGAACCATCCTGTATATAGCTGCCGACATGGCGGGTAGACGACTTGAGAGTGACAGCATGATGAATCCCAACCTTGGCAGCAGAAGGCATATGGCCGAAGAGAGGTGGAGCGCTTGCGGAAGGAACCCAGGCCGGCGACACAGAGTGTCCAAGTCCGGTAGGACCTGGCAGCATGAGTGCGCTGCCCTCACCAGGTTGCTGTGCTGTGAATCATCTGCTGCGGCACATGGGGACAGAATTTCGATAGAACGAAGGCACAGACGGTATGCTATTTGGAGACCACCCTTGGGCTTCAAAATTGCTCAAGTGCCGTCACGGCTTTCCTCTAGTCCAGGCATTGGAACACACAACGGCTCTCAGGAAGGGCCGATACAGGCGGGTCACGGGTGGGTGACGTCGGGGTATAGCTTACAGTACATAGGTGAACAGAACTAGTGACCAGTGCCGGAACATGAAATGCAGTACAGGCGTAGCTTGTGTCATGAAAGGTCCAAGGCGCTGCCTGCTGATGTGAACCAGCAACCTTGCTGCAATGTGCAACAGCCCAGAACCGGCTGCGTCAAAGCGGCTTCCGGCGCATCCTGTGAGTGAAGAGTGGCACGAATCAATAAGTGGTGCCAGGGTTTCTATTCGGGGCTTTTTGATGCATAGCGCCTCCTCCAGGCTCCTTCTTGCAAGATAGGCCATGTGTTTTTCCCGGTGGCCCTTGTTGTTCCCCAGCCGCTCGAAACCCATGGTATCCTCTCAGGAAAATTTCGCAGATGAAGCGGGAGAGCACGAATCTTGCGCAAAAGCCCGGCACACGTTGGGGCTAGTTGTGTGCGATTTTTCAGAGTTGTGCTCAGAAGCTCACAGGAGAACAGGGATCACCATTTCTGAAAATTTGATGAGCATCGTGCGTTTGCAGAGCTGTCGGAGTTTAGTTTGTAAAAGCTACCTGGTTTACTTGAAGTCCGAGTCGCCTGCCTTTCTGCTCTCGCAGAAGACTGGGAAAGCACATCGTATCCGTCTTCTCTTCCCAGGGCTGCCGCTTTGGAAGACTGCGAGGCGCGCAAGAAGGCCGCTCGGACACATTTTTGGCCACGCGTGGCTGCAAGAAAGTACTGCAGCCAAACCTGAAGAGAAACATGATGCAATGTACCATGTCTGTAGTTCGTTTTGCCCTGTGCTTTGTTTTGATGTTGCTCTGGGCATGCGGCCAGGAAGAGCTCACGAAGCAGTCCGATGATCTCTTAGAAGAAGCAAAGAAGTATGAAAAGGCTTGGGGAGGTGAGGACTCTGAGAAATTCTAGACCGGAAATGCCTCTGCAGGAGGAGGAAGAAAAGGTGAAGGCAAATTTTCGCCCACTCGCATGCGAGGCTAGCAACGATTCTGAAGCTCTGGTTCTGCTGCATTAGTGTAGCCGGGTTGTGTTCCTGAACAGGTTTGCGGCACAGCCTATGTGAGCCGGGGGCACAGTTTTTGTGAGAATGTGGACAGTTGACACGCTTCATCATGGACTCTGATGCAGTTTTCAGGCAACAACGAAGGCGAATATGAAGCACACCTGAATTACAAAGCAGATCGCCTCAGCCAGCGCAATCGAGCTGTAGGCCTTGACTTATTCGGCAGAAACAGTTTTTTGTGTGCGGACGGACGTGCTCAAGGTGCACAACAGCTACGTCAAGATCCGTGCACGACTCAAAGAGCTCAAAGAAAAAAAAGTGCTGTGCCCAGCAAGTCAGACCAGCGTTTTTTTTACCTTGGAGTATCTTGCGCGAACCCTAGGCTGAGCGCGACCGGGTCATCAAAGAGAAGAAGGTGATTGCAGCATTTCAGCTAGCAAGCATGTGTTAGTCTACTGGCATTGCGGCTGGTAATACTCTCAGCACTGGCCTTACCTTGTAGGAAGGAGTTTCTCAAGTTGACTGCGCTGATCGGTAAGGCAAGCTTCATAATGCTTGCTGTTCAGGAAGAGGAGCGCAAAAGGAAGAATGAAGAATATGCAAAGAAGGCCACACTTGTTCCAGAGTTGGCAGCTGATGTTGAGAATGCAGTGGATGCTGCGTGGAAAAAGGGAATGCAGGCACACAGACATGTCAGCTATTTTCTGCAGGCAGCGGAAGAAGATGCAGAGGCTGCCTGTTTGCTGTGCGCATGACCTGACCGATGGCAAAGAGCAGTTTGCAGGCTGATGCCGACGGGGAGAAGTCCAAAGACAAGGCAGCCAGGCCTCACCCTGGATACACCCTCTCAGTTTTTGAATGTCAGGACGGCTCTCCAAAAGAGAATGGGGTCAAGAAGAGAAGGCAGGTTCACCTCATTGCCACATTTGTGCACTGCATTGCATTCCAGGAAAGGTAGCCGAAGCAGAGACCGAAGCAGAGACCGAAGAGCAGGAAAATCGCGCAAGGAGCTTTGCGCAGAACCGAGCTGGTCACAGTTCTCGCCCCGAGATAGTCAGCGACTACCTGACAGGACCGCGACAGGGATCGCCGTGGCAGAGGAAGAAAGGACTGAGCAGCGGTTGCGCTTCGCTACAAAAATGCCTCCATCACTTAGCATCGCTCTGTCTCCAGGATCGCCGAGGCTCCTCGATGCCATTTGTTCACGAATGCTTGGCTGCAACGTGTACTTGCATCTGAATTGACCATTGCCCTTCGAAGGAATCATCTCAAACATACATGGTAGATGAGTGCTCATCGTTATGCCATCAACGGCCATCTGCTGCTTTTCGCAGTGTGCACTGTC